GGGACAGATTCTGAAAACAGAGGAGCACTGTCCCCAGGCAGCTGCCCACATGCTTCTGGATATTTCCCCCAGCCACCTCCTCAGATGCTTTCCTGCTGTTACAAAATCGCCGTGTCCCATTTAGCAATCGTAACTTTAAAAAATCACCCCTTAGTGTTACTCACATTTTTCTTCTGGAAGGGTTGTATGGAATAGGAACAAAATTTTTCCAAGAAAAACTTTTTTTTTTTGAGACGGAGTTTCGCTCTTGTTGCCCAGGCTGGAGCGCAATGGCGCGATCTCGGCTCACCGCAACCTCCGTCTCCTGGGCTCAGGCAATTCTCCTGCCTCAGCCTCCTGAGTAGCTGGGATTACAGGCACGCACCACCATGCCCAGCTAATGTTTTGTATTTTTAGTAGAGACGGGGTTTCACCATGTTGACCAGGATGGTCTCGATCTCTTGATCTCGTGATCCACCTGCCTCGGCCTCCCCAAGTGCTGGGATTACAGGCTTGAGCCACTGCGCCCGGCCTCAAGAAAAACATTTTAATATAATTTACTCGAAGACACTTGTTGTTTTGTTGTTGTTTTTTAATTATTTTACTTTAGGTGCATACTGTATCTGGCGTTTCTCCCCATATCTCCCTCCCCACCCACCCCTCCCTCCCCACACCTCGATGTCTCTCCCCTACCCCCCCACAATTGCTCCCAGTGTGTGATGCTCCTCTCCCTGAGTCCACGTGTTCTCATTGTTCACCACCCACCTATGAGTGAGAACATGCGGTGTTTAGCTCTCTGTTCTTGAAGACACATGTTTAATAACTGGTTGTGGCCGGGCACGGTGGCTCACGCCTGTAATCTCAGCACTTTGGGAGGCTGAGGCGGGTGGATCACGATGTCAGGAGATCCAGTCCGTCCTGGCCAACATGGTGGAACCCCGTCTCTACTAAAAATAAAAAATAAAAAAATAATAGCTGGGTGTGGTGGCGTGCGCCTGTAGTCCCAGCTACTCAGGAGGCTGAGGCAGGAGAATTGCTTGAACCCAGGAGACGGAGATTGCATTGAGCCAATATTGCGCCACTGCACTCCAGCCTGAATGACAGTGTGAGACTCCATCTCAAAAAAAAAAAATTGGTTGTGATAAAATCTGAAAATTTCAAAAAAATTTCAAGACGGCTTTCCATAACCTCCCCTCCCTTTCGTCTGCTCATTTATCCCGTGAGCAATTGAGGAAGGATCAGCGTGTTTCTGGGGCATCGCTGCCTTACTACGCTGTGTGTCCCGGGAGAAAGGTCAGGGAAGTAGGGTCACCCTCTCCATCCACTGTGACGCACTGCAGTGAATGCAGACCGCCGAACACAGGCCATCAGCAGTGAGACGTCCCCAGAGTTGGCAGGGTGAAGAGCCCAGCGTCAGGCACAGTGCCTGGGTGATGCCCTTGCCACAGTGCCGCTGTTGGCTGCAGTCACAGGTTTGCAATGCAGTCATTCTCTGTATCCAATGAGCCACCTGCTATTTATGAAATTTCAAAAACTTAATTTTTTTTGTCAATTTTTAACATTCACCTGCAAGAGCCACATGATAAAACGGCTTTTGTGGTTTTTTTTTTTAAATTTGACGGGTTGGTTGGTTGGTTTTTTGTTTTGAGACAGAGTCTTGCTCTGCTGTCCAGCCTGGAATGCAGCAGCATGACCTCAACTCACTGCAAGCTCCACCTCGCAGATTCAAGCGATTCTCCAGCCTCAGCCTCCCGAGAAGCTGGAATTACAGGTGCCCACCATGTCTGGCTAATTTTTTCTTTTTTTTTGATATGGAGTCTTGCTCTGTCACCCAGGCTGGAGTGCAGTGGAGCAGTCTTGGTTAACTGCTGCCTCCGTCTCCTGGGTTCAAGTCATTCTCCTGCCTCAGCCTCCTAAGGAGCTGGGACTACAGGCACATGCCACCATGCCCAGCTAATTTTTGTATTTTTAGTTGAGATGGGGTTTCACCTTGTTGGCCAGGATGGTCTTGATCTCTTGACCTTGTGATTCACCCGCCTCGGCCTCCCAAAGTGCTGGGATTACAGGTGTAAATCACCTCGCCCAGCCAGTTTTTGTATTTCTTAAGACAGGGTTTCACCATATGGGCCAGGCTGTCCTTGAACTCCTGACCACAAGTGATCCACCTGCCTTGGCCTCCCAAAGTCCTGGGATTACAGGCATCAGCCATGGTGCCTGGCCATACAAAGGCTTTTATGAAAACCCCTCCCCACCTTTAAAATCATTGCAAGTGTGCCCCTATTGGTAGATACAGCATTTGTAACCTTAACATTATAGCTGCCGGGGAACATGCAGGCTGGAATGCAGGAGAGGCGGGGGGAGGGACCTGCTGCGTCAGGAGCTGGCCTCATGTGCGGCTCACAACTCCAGTGGGAAGACGCTCTCTGGGCCACATCAAATGGGAGCCCTCGGATCAGTGATACTGTGTTCAAATTCATGACCACCTATCACATGGCCTAAAAGTTTAAACTATTGCACAAATGAAGCTGAGACATACCCCTGTGTTTATTGTTACGGGAGGTCATTACTGTTGACTCCAGGAATGCACAACTGTGTGTGTAGTGCTCCCCACTGTTCAAACATCCGAGGCTGGGCACGGTGGCGCACACCTGTAATCCCAGCACTTTGGGAGGCTGAGGCGGGCAGATCACGTGGTCAAGAGATTGAGACCATCCTGGCCAACATGGTGAAACCCCATCTCTACTCAAAATACAAAAATCAGCTGGGCGTGGTGGCAGGTGCCTGTAATCTCAGCTACTCGGGAGGCTGAGGCAGGAGAATAGCTTGAACCCGGGAGGTGGAGGTTGCAGTGAGTCGAGATGGCGCCACTGCACTCCAGCCTGGAGAGAGTGAGACTATGTCAAAACAAAACTAAGCACCCCTGCGTTCCTGAGTAGTGCTTAGGTGAACACCTGTTAGGGGAAGCGTGTGCGCCCGCCGCCGTCCGCAGGGAGGATCCACAAGGCATCCCCGCACTTCCTGTGGTCGCACTTGTCAGTTTACTCTCCCGGAAAACCCTTATTTCCGTGTCAACCAAGCCTTTGCCGTCTGTCACGTCTCTCTCTTTCCACACAAATGTAAGAGCAAGGACTACAGAAACTTGTTTTACGTCTCTGTACTTGGAGCCTGCGCGGTCTCAACTGTGTGTACTTTGTGACTGAACGTTTGCCGTGTGAGTGAGGGACGCTTGGAGGTCAGCATCAGGCACGGAGCATGGTCTGTGTGTGGAAAAGGCTGGGTTTGCACCGTGCGCCTGCCTTTATCCCTCGCTGGGGCTGGGATCTCTGGCGCTTCACCAAAATGTGTGAGCCTCAGCGTTTATCTTACCAAGTGTGATGAGTAACTGAACTTACAAATTTCAGCTGTTGGCCAGGCGCGGTGGCTCATACCTGTAATCCCAGAACTTTTGGAGGCCAAGGCAGGCAGATCACAAGGTCAGGAGATCGAGACTATCCTGGCTAACACGGTGAAACGTCGTCCCTACTAAAAATACAAAAACTAGCCAGGTGTGGTGGCAGGCACCTGTAGTCTCAGCTACTTGGGAGGCTGAGGCAGGAGAACCCCCTGAAGCCGGGAGGTGGAGGTTGCAGTGAGCTTTCACTCTAGCCTGGACAACAAGGGTGAAACTCTGTCTCTAAAAAAACAAAAAAGTGTAGGAACTGGTACATACCTTGTAATGCTAATAAATAGTGCCTTAATTGACAAAATTACAAAGCTCATTTCATATTGCATAATTACAATGGAATATTTAAATGTTTTTGTTGGGGGAAATGGCAGTGGACGGAGGCTTACCGAGTGCCTATGGAAAATGGTTCCAAGTGCTGGGAACAGTCAACCACTGCGTCAGGCCCCTGGGACGGCCAACTTCCCCAGGCCTTCCAGTTCCAGGTGCAGAGTGACCTTGACTCTGCTGCGGTATGTTACATGCTCAAGGGCTTCAAACGCCTTCTGTAGCATTACAAAGGAGCCAGACTTGCAGGCTCCTTGTGAGACTCGCTCCCTCCCGCAGCGCCTAGAACGCCAGCTGTAAATACCCACATGCTTCTGCTTCTCAAAGAAACTCACAAAGCCGCCACTGCTAGCAGTCTTTAGAATGACTTGCCAGCTCTTGTTCACCGACCTCGGCTCCGCCATCATGCCACCCCCTCCCCACCATCACCTCGCCTTCACCCCACCATCTGCTGACTGCTCAAAGTGAGTGTGAGCAACTGTGGAAAACCTCAGCTCGGGGCCTCCACTGCCTCCAGTACAAGCAATGGCCCCCTGGTCCCACTTTCCTTCTTAATCTTTTTCTCATTCCTCTGTCGCCACTGAACTTGGAGTACCCTCAGGTGGCAGGTGGGGGCTGGCTCCCCACATATTTTCAGAGTAAAAAATATTAGTATACAATTTGTCTGAACATGGTTGATAGAATATTTCTAGGAAACAACTACTGAGGAATTTGATAATTAGTCTATTGTTCTTAATGGCACATAATTAAGCAGATTATTGAATGCATACTTAAGGGTTACACTCAGCTCTGAGTAACAGGAAGCTCCCACAGGCTGCCTGATGTGAGAGAGGTGGTCACCCTTACGTGGATGGACTAACTCCGTGGTCATTCAGCAGTGCTGTATGAGATCAAACATGTGTGTGCTTTCTGGCTGCTGTGGAGGCCGTCATGCTTGTCCGCACACAGAACCATAAGCTGTACTGAGAGAACAAATTGTTTAGTAGAAAAATAAGGTAAGACCTGGCTGGGCGCGGTGGCTCACGCCTGTAATCCAAGCACTTTGGAGGCCACGGTGGGCAGATCACCTGAGGTCGGGAGTTCAAGACCAGCCTGACCAACATGGTGAAACCCCGTCTTTAAAAAAAAAAAGGTGGGGGGGGGGAAGAAAAATAAGGTAAGACCTAAAGGCAAGTAAGGTGCAGTATATAAAAGAGGGGACAGCCAGTTATCTGTAGCACTAGGCCAGTAAGAATAAGATGTACCAAAGTTTCACTGTTGTAATGATACCATGCAGAAAAATACAGAACGTACGTAAAAAATTATGTCACGTTCAAAGTACACTTCAGATCACCACAGGTCCAATAAGGTTCAAAATGAAAGTATTTAAGTGATGAAGCACTTAACTATTAAAACTTACGTACTACAGCAAAAAGAGGACTTAATTATTCTCTCGCATCAACATTTATTTTTGAAAGAGCTGGGGATTCATTACTAATGGGTCTGTTTTGCAAACGAGGTATTGACAAAGACAATATCATACTTATCACTTGTACGATTGCTCTCCCGGTGTGAATTTTCTGGAGCATTGTACATGAATTAATGTGAGGTGACCCCATGTTACCTACAGAACCTCTCTCTAGTGTGTGCGCCCACTGGCCTCAGAACGACTTGACAACCGAAGGCTTTTGAGTACAGCGTACACTCGGGATTTCTATCCGACGTGTGTTCTAACATGGTTCCGAAGGGAGGAGGGCCACCTGAAGGACTTCCCGCACTGTTGACACTCGTGGGGTTTCTCTCCCGTGTGCATCCTCACGTGTTTCTGTAAGGATGACGACCAGCTGAAGGCTTTTCCACACTGCTTACAGGCGTAAGGCTTCTCTCCACTGTGGGTCCTCAGGTGACCTTGGAACGACCTGGAGGAGGTGAACGCCTTCCCGCACCTTTCACATTTATAGAGCCGCTCCTCCGTGTGAACTCTCACGTGCTCTCTAAATGTCGAGGGCCAAGCGAAGGCTTTCCCGCACTGCTTGCACTCGTAAGGTTTCTCTCCCGTGTGAGTTCGCACGTGACCTTGAAAGGATCTGGGAGAGCTGAAAGCTTTCCCACAGTTTTCACAGGTGTAGAGATTCTCTCCGGTGTGGATTCTCACGTGTACTCGGAAGGTCTCAGGCCAACTGAATGTTTTCCCGCACTGCTTGCATGCGTAGGGCTTCTCTCCCGTGTGAGTCTTTTCATGTCTTTGAAAAGACTGTGGGTAACTGAAGGTTTTCCCGCATTGCTGACACTTAAAGGGCTTCTCTCCCGTGTGTGTTATCATGTGTCTCTGAAATGTTGAGGGGTACATGAAGGCTCTCCCACACTCCGTACATTGATATGGCTTGTCTCTTGTGTGACTCCTCACATGTCTAGTGAGGCTCGAGAACTCAGGAAAGGCCATCCCACACCGCCTGCACTTGTAGGTTTTCTCTGCTGTGTGAATCTTCACGTGGTGAGAGAGGGAATGGGGATGACGGAAAGTTTTCCCACACGATTTACACTCATAGGGCTTCTCCCCAGTGTGCGTTAGCATGTGTCTTTGAAAGACTGAGGGGTAGACGAAGACTTTCTCACATTCCTTACATTTATAAGGCTTCTCTCCCAAGTGAGCTCTGACGTGTCTAGTAAAACTTGAGAACTGATGGAAGGCCACCCTACATTGCTTGCATTCATAGGTTTTCTCTGACGTGTGAATCTTTGCATGTTGGGTGAGGGAGTAGGAATGGTGAAAGGTCTTCCCACATAATTTACATTCATAGGGCCTCTCTGCAGTGTGTGTGATCATATGTCTCTGAAAGATGGAGGGGTAAATAAACGCCTTCCCACATTTCTTACATTTATACGGCTTCTCTCCAGTGTGTGTTCTCACGTGCCTCGTGAGGCTGGAGAACTCCATGAAGGCCTTCCCACAGTGCCTGCATTCACAGCTCCTCTCGGAGGCGTGAGTCCTGATGTGCTGAGTGAGGGAATAGAAATAAGGAAAGCTTTTACCACATAATTTACATCCATAGGGCCTCTCGCCAGTGTCAGTTCTTACGTGACTGTTGAGGTGTGAGGCACAAACACAGGCACGCTTACGTTCCTGACACGGATGTGGTTTTCGTCCACAGTGAGACTTGACGTGCCTCTTGAGAGAAGAAAGATGCATGAAGACCGTCCCACACTTGGTGCATTCGTATGGCTTTTCTCCAGCAGAAATTTCCTTGTGCGGGGTAAGATGTGGCATTTGATTGATGGTTTCTCCATATTGATTACCTTCATTATTTTCACAGAATCTGTCCACCATATGATTTCTGTTAAAAATGAGAAACATTCTTATTTATGGTATGTTTAATGATTTGTTGATATGTATTAATAAGTATTAGAAATACATTTCAGGGCCGGGCGCGGTGGCTCACGCCTGTAATCCCAGCACTGTGGGAGGCCGAGGCGGGTGGATCACGAGGTCAAGAGATCGAGACCATCCTGGTCAACATGGTGAAACCCCGTCTCTACTAAAACTACAAAAAATCAGCTGGGCATGGTGGCGCGTGCCTGTAATCCCAGCTACTCAGGAGGCTGAGGCAGGAGAATTGCCTGAACCCAGGAGGCGGAGGTTGCGGTGAGCCGAGATCGCGCCATTGCACTCCAGCCTGGGTAACAAGAGTGAAACTCTGTCTCAAAAAAAAAAAAAAAAAAGGGAAAAAAAAATTTTTTTTTGGTTAAAATTCTGAGGAATAAACCAATTTGGAGCAATGCTTACATATTTTTTTTAGTTGCATACAAAGATTACTTCCTTCTCTCGTGGTGCAACTCACCTCAGATTTCTGTGGAGATCTTCAATGCCGCAGCCTTCGCAATTTGTTTCTAAAGCGTAGGCACAGGAATTACTTCTCGTGAAGTTCAGTATTGTCTGTTCCTGAGATATTTTTCCCCTGTACATATCCTGCTGAGAAACTGACCTGTCGGCTTTACATGGAGTCTCATCGTCTGAAATAAAAAAGTGAAAATCTCATTAGGAGTAAGACCTGTACTGAACAGAGGAAGACACCGAGGAGTTGAGCATTTTGAGGACTGCATCAGTAATCGAGGTAAGGGGTCAAAGTGGCAGGTATTCAACACAGTCAGTCACAGGTCCCAAACAAGAAACCGCTCTGTGATCCTAAGTGACCCATCAAGGCCACCCCATACTAATGACACCAGAGGAAACTGAAGTCCTTTAAACCGAGGCAGAAATAACATCTGTTTCACTGTTAGAGTCATGAGTGGATGCTAGGTCCATGATGGCTGTGAACACATCTGCCTTGCTCCTTTCCCACATTTCACATGTTGGAACGGTGCTGAGGAGAAAGAAATGGGTTCACGGGGCCGGGCGCGGTGGCTCACGCCTGTAATCCCAGCCCCTTGGGAGGCCGAGGTGGGCGGATCATGAGTTCAAGAGATAGAGACCATCCTGGCCAACATGGTGAATCCCTGTCTCTACTAAAAACACAAAAACTAGCTGGGCGTGGTGGCATGTGCCTGGAGCCCCAGCTACTCAGGAGGCTGAGGCAAGAGAATCTCTTGAACCCGGGAGGCAGAGGTTGCAGTGAGCCGAGATTGCGCCACTGCACTCCAGCCTGGTGACAGAACGAGATTCCGTCTCAAAAAAAAGGAGAAAGAAATGAGTTCATTAAAAACTGAGTGAAGGAAGGAGTGACGTCATCCTTACCTACTGAGGCCAGGTTCCGGAAGGTTTCCAGCATCACGTCTCTGTAGAGGTCCCTCTGGGCAGAATCCAGCAAAGCCCACTCCTCCAGGGTGAAGTCCACAGCCACGTCCTCAAAGACCACGGAGTCCTAAGACAAACCACACAGGTGCGCAGGAGGATTGGTGACACGGAAGGTACTGGGCAACCTCGTAAGTAATTCAGACAGGACTGTGCTGTCCCAGCACCTCCTCTGTGATGCTAATGTGAGTGAGATCTTTTACTTATCCACAATCACTTCCTCATAAACTCCATGGCACCATGGTCGGTCTGAGTTTATGACCACCACTCTCTGCCTTTTTACTGTGACTGCTGTTCTCTTCCTCTCCTACCATCAGGGTCTGGAAAGAAATGCTGTGCAGATGAAGTCACTTTTCCATCTGAAATGTCGCAGAATTGTCCAAGCCACGCTTACTTCACAGGTCTTTAGGATAAGACCTGCTATTGGACAAGCCTGTGACCGGCGGCTGGGAGAAGACGGTCCTTGGGATCTGCTGCCTGGTAAGGGCATCTTCGTCCAGCTGGGCCTCAGCCCACACCAGAGTTTCTAACAATGTGACCTATGGATTCCTATTTCTGTCTGCCTGGAGCCCTGGGCCACACTGTATCAGCTTTTCCCCCTTTATTTTCTTAAATTACTTTAAAGGCAATGATATAAATATGTGTAACACGTAAAAATACCTACTTACTAATACCAGCACAGAGGAGGTGGGTGGGAGCAAAGGTGTGCTCAGCAAGGGACCTGACTCTAGATGGGAAAGTATCGATTAAAATGCACTGTTTTGCTGTGTAATAGTCATGGACGTAGTATATATGAATCATGCCATGAAAGTGGGGGGAGGGATACAGCTACATAGGAACAGCATTTCTGTATCTCACTAAAATCAAGCTATTTACATGAATCTGAAGTACATCTGATAAGCCTCACATTAATAATATAGCAACCCCTAAAGCATCCAATTAAAAAGAAACCAACAAATCGTAACAAGTTAAACAATTGAAATGCTTCCTTAGAAAATAATGAAAATGAAAGAAACACAGAAATCAAAAGTAAAACGGCAGGCAGTCCTGAGTATGTCTGCGTCAGTAAGGACGCTAAATGGGAATGGATCACAGACCCCATTAAACGGTGGAGCAGTCAGGCTGGATGACAGGCATAACCCAACTCTACACACTGCAGAAGACACACACTTCATCCAAAGATACAAACAGATTGAAAGTAAACGTGGGGGTGGGTGCTCATGCCTGTAATCCCCGCACACTGGGAGGCTGAGGCGGGCAGGTCACTGGCAGGAAGGAGTTCAAGACCAGCCTGGCCAACAGTGACACTGTGTCTCTACTAAAAATACAAAAACTAGCTGGGTGTAGGGGTGAGACTCCATTAAAAAAGAAAAACAAAAAAAAGAAAAAATAAATGGACCATTCAAAATAGCAGTTGGAATATAAATACCCCGCTGCTGCTTTTAGTAGAACACAGCTTCATCAACTACCCCCCCTACAACCACCCCCTTTTTTGTATTTTTTTTTTTTTTTGAGATGGGAGTCTTGCTGTGTCACCCAGGCTGCAGTGCAGTGGCATGAACTCAGCCCACTGCAGCCTCAGCCTCCCGGGTTCAAGTGATTCTCCTGTCAGCATCCCGAGTAGCTGGGATTACGGGCATGCACCACCACACTTGGCTAGTTTTTGTATTTTTAGTAGAGATGGGGTTTCTCCATGTTGGTCGGGCTGGTTTTGAGCTCCTGACCCCAGGTGATCCATCTGCATTGGCCTCCCAAAGTTCTGGGATTACAGGTGTGAGCCACCTGTAATTTTTTTTTTTTTTGAGATGGAGTCTTGCTCTGTTACCCAGGCTGGAGTGCAGTGCCATGATCCTGGCTCACTGCAACCTCCGCCTTCCGCGTTCAGGTGATTCTCCTGCCTCAGCCTCTTGAGTAGCTGGGATTACAGGCACATGCCACCGTGCCCAGCTAATTTTTGTATGTTTAGTAGAGATGAGGGTTCACCATATCAGTCAGGCTGGTCTTGAACTCCTGACCTCGTGATCCGCCCATCTCGGCTTCCCAAAGTGCTGGGATTACAGGCATGAGTCACCGTGCCCAGCCACTTACCCTACTTTTTAATGATAGACAGACCATCTAGGTGAAATACAAGGAAATACAATAACTGGACAACACTGTCAGCCATTCAGCCGTAACAGGCATCTGCAGAACGCTAAACACCACAACAGCAAAACACGGACTGTTTTCAAGTGCAGGAAGAACGTTCTCTAGAAGAGGCCATTTGCTAGGCCATTAGAAGCCTCACCACATTTAAAACAACAGAAATACAAAGTATTGGCTGGGCTTGGCGGCTCATGCCTGTAATCCCAGCATTTTGGGAGACCAGGGCAGGCGGATCACTGGAGCTCAAGCGTTCGAGACCAGCCTGGGCAACATACTGAGACCCTGTCTCTACTAAAAATGCAAAAATTAGCTGGGTATGTGATGGCACACACCTGTAATCTGGCTACCTGGGAGGCTGAGGCACGAGAATTGCTTGAACCCAGGAGACAGAGGTTGCACTGAGCTGAGATCACACCGCTGACAGAGCTGACACAGCGGCAGTCGGTCTCAAAAACAACAAAAAAACAAGTATGTTCTCTGACCACAATGGAATGAGAAATGAAACTGGAAATTAATACAGAAAATCTGGCAAATTCACTCACATGTGGATATTAACACGTTGCTCCGTAACCAGTCGATCAAAGAAAGCAAAAGGGAAACACTTTTGAGATGGATGGAAAATAAAGGCCTAATACACCAAAACTTATATAAAGAAATTAGTGGTTATAAATACCTATCCTAAAGATTGCAACTCAGCGACCTAACTTTGTCCACTTAAACACAACAGGAAAATAAAACTAAACCTAAGCAATCAGGAGGGAGGAAATAATATTACAGCAAAATCAATGAAATAGAGAACAGTAAACAATAGAGAAAAATCAATGAAACCAAAGATAGTTGTTTTTTTTTTTTTTTTTTTTTTTAAAGATGGGGTTTCACCAGGCTGGTTTTGAACTCCTGACCTCAGGTGATCCACCCACCTCAGTCTCCCAAAGTGCTGGAATTACAGGCGTGAGCCACTGCGCCTGGCTAAGATAGTTTTTTTATTTTTTGTTTTTGAGACAGTCTAGCTCTGTCACCCAGGCTGAAGTATAGTGGTGCGATCTTGGCCCACCGCAGTCTCTGCCTCCTGGGCTCAAGTGATTCTGTTGCCTCAGCCTACCGGATAGCTGGGATTACAGATGCGCGCCATCACACCTGGCTAATTTTTATATGTTTAGTAGAGTTAGATCTTCACCATGTTATCCCGGTTGGTCTTGAACTCCTGACCTCAGGTGATCCGCCTGCTGCAGCCTCCCAGAGTGCTGGGATTACAGGCATGAGCCATTGTGCCTCACCCAAAGCTAGTGTTTTGAAAAGACCAAACAAAACTGATTTAGCCAAACTGACAGGAAAAAAAGAGACTCAAAATTACTAGGACCAGAAGTGGGTGAACATTACTGTCAACCTTAAAGAAACATAAAGGATGAAGGCCGGGCGCAGTGGCTCAAGCCTGTAATCCCAGCACTTTGGGAGGCTGAGGCGGGTGGATCACGAGGTCAAGAGATCGAGACCATCCTGGTCAACACGGTGAAACCCCGTCTCTACTAAAAATACAAAAAATTAGCTGGGCATGGTGGCGCGTGCCTGTAATCCCAGCTACTCAGGAGGCTGAGGCAGGAGAATTGCCTGAACCCAGGAGGCGGAGGTTGCGGTGAGCCGAGATCGCGCCATTGCACTCCAGCCTGGGTAACAAGAGCGAAACTCCGTCCCAAAAAACAAACAAACAAACATAAAGGATGATGAAAATGCTATGAACAGTTATATGCCAATAAATCAGGTAACTCAGGTACAACAAATGCAATCTCAGAACCACCTTAACTCCCCAAACTAAAGACACAGACAATCCAGGCAGACCTACTGGAAATGAAGAGACTGAACTAGTTCCCAAAATCTACTGAAAGTGAAAAGCCCAACCCCGATTCAAGGCTTCTTCCCTGAATTCTACCAAAAATTTAAGGGAACAGTAATAGCAAGTGTTGACAAGACATTTATAAAAGTTGCAAGGAAGAGTTCCCAAATCATTTTGTGAGGCCAGTATTATCCTGGGACCGAAACCAGATAAAAAAATCACAGTAAAACTACAGACCAGTGTTCACTTGGCAACGGATTCCCAAATCCTCAGCAAAATACCAGCAAACCAAATCCAGCAATGTAAGAATTCTACCATCATGACTAGCTGGAATTTTTTTTTTAAGATGGAGTCTTGCTCTGTGGCACAGGCTGGAGAGCCTGCTGCAGAATTTGCCATCTGGGGTCAGCTGCTGATCCCCTGAGACCCAAGCCCACTACTTCGTTCAGAGTTCTGGTTGCGATGTTAAGCGGCAGCCTAGGGAAGAACCATACCTCATTTGTCAACACCCACGGCCAGAGCAAGCCTAACTCTTAGGAGGCCTATCTGGGTTTTGGAGAAAACATACTCCTCACCGACAGGTTTCACTCCCAACCATCTAAGCGATCACAAAACAGCCTACTTCTAGAACAAGAGGTTCTAGATCCTTTTTTTTTTCTTTAAGAGTTGGAGTCTTGCTCTGTTGCCCAGGCTGGAGTGCAGTGGCGTGATCTCAGCTCACTGCAACCTCCGCCTCCCGGGTTCTTGCAGTTCTCCTGCCTCAGCCTCCCGAGTAGCTGGGGCTACAGGCGCGCACCGCCAGGCCTGGCTAATTTTTTGTATTTTAGTAGTGATGGGGTTTTACCGTGTTGCCCAGGCTGGTCTCGAACTCCTGAATTCAAGCAATCTGCCTGCCTCAGCCTCCCAAAGTGCTGGGATTACAGGCCTGAGCCACCGCGCCCGGCCAGAGGTTCTAGATTCTGTGCCAAATGCAATCACGACAGGACTCCACTGTGCCCCTCCTTGGACTCCTCTGGGGGAGCTTCCGAAGCCTCCGCTCCAGCCTCAGGGCATCTGAAAGCAGTCCTGGTGGCATTGGATTGGCCATGGGCACCTGG